CTAGGGAGTAGGGGGGATGGTTTAGGTCTACGTGAAATCCACTCTATGCCCACGACTAATGTAGCCACTACTTTGTAAAGATTTTAAACAACCCTCCAGTGGGATTTAGAAATCCAATACCTCTGTTCTTTATAGCAAATGTAAAGTTCTTGTTGTTGTTTTTGTTGTTGTTGATCCTGGGGCATGGTCTCTGGGCCTGGGCACTGTCCCTCAACTCTTCAGCTTAAGGCTAGAGCTCTATCACTCAAGCCACAGCGCCACTTCTGGTTTTCTGGTGGTTAATTGGACTTTCCTGCCTGGGCTGGTTTTGAACCGTGATACTCAGATTTCAGCCTCCTGAGAAGCTGCATTACAGGTGTGAGCAACTGGCACCCTGCTTGCAGTCCATTTTGAACTCAGTAACTCTGTACATAACAGCTAGTGCCAAGTGTTCATTTGGCATGCAAAAAAAAAAAAAAAACCAAAGTAACTCTTCCTGGGAAAGAGTAAAAAATAAAAAAAAAAGCTAATTAAATGAATTGGCATTACATTAGGTATCTAAGCAATTTTAAAAGCTATAATGAGGGGCTGGGAAGGTGACTCAGTGGTAGAGTGCTTGCCTTGCATGCCTGAGGCCCTGGGTTCGATTCCTCAGCACCACATAAAAAAAAAGCTGGAAGTGGCACTGTGGCTCAAGGGGTAGAGTGCTAGCTTTGAGCTGAAGAGCTGAGGGACAGCACCCAGACCCAGAGTTCAGGCCCCATGACCAGACCAAAAAAGCTATAATGAGCATAAAAGCATCAACTGTAGGAGATGAGCAACTTTTACTTATTTCTTTAATTTAATCTTTCCCTAACTGCCCCATTAGGGCAAAAGAACTTGAACCTCAGTTCATGTAAACACACATGAACAAGAAGCCATGCAAAGATTTCAAAGTGTGGTTTCTTAACTGGCTTTGAGTTCCAATTAGTCTTTTTTTTTCTTGAACTCTGGACCTGGGCACTGTCCCTGAGCTCTTCAGGTCAAGGTGAGTGTTCTACCACTTGAGCCATAACACTACCTCTGGTTTTCTGATGGTAAATTAGAGATCAGAGTCTCACAGATATTCTTGCCCAGGCTGGCTTTGAACCATTATCCTCAGATCTTAGCCTCTTGAGTAGCTAGGACTATAGGCATGAGCCACCAATTAGTCCTTAAAAAGTGGCTTTCTTGATTAAAAAAAATGCAGCCATTACAGTGTATGTCTTAGTGGTAAAAAAACTGGCAACAAACAACAGTGAAAAATTCAAGTACATTGAAGTCGAAAAAGCAAACAGACTGGAATCAATTTAAATATCCAACATAAGGGTGTATATTCAAATGTTATGCTATACAATTATCAAATGTAATGCCTTACAAACTAAATAATAGAAGATTCTCATTAAATTTACAGCATGCAAGTTTATATGATGCAAATCATTATACAGATTAAAACTCATCCAGCTTATCTTATGTAGCATCAGAAGAAACGTATAAAATGCTCTGAGGCTATGCTCCTAAATTTTAAAACAAAATCTATAGTTATATGAAGAAGTTTCTGGAATACAACTCAAGGGAGACAAAGGAATCCTGTTATTTCCAGAATCAACATTTTTTTTATCATTATGTCAGATATTTTCAGTCTTCAGTGTGCAAGCGCGAGTACATGCAGATGAAGAGTTGGTACCTAATAAGTGAAGTAAGCCAGGCTCCCAAAAACATAGGTCTCATGGTTTCCCTTATTTGCAATAACTAGTATATGTCTGAGACAAGCAGAAATGGTCAGATAAGTTGATGTTAGGCGAAACGAACCTCAAGATAAGGACTCAAATGGTTTTTCTTTCTTGCTATTGTTTCTAACATATTTATAAGATGATTTCTTTGTTGCTTTTATGTCCCTCCCCCAGGGTATAACCCGTTTTCACTGTATTTGATGTTGGTATAATTTGTGGAGGGGAAGGGAAGAAACAAATTGTTTAACTAGGGATACAGGTGGACCCATTGCAACAATGAGATGTACAAGTCGTTATGTCGAAAAACAAACTTTACACCTTTGGGGGGAAGAGGGTGAGATGGGCGGGCAGAGATGGTAAGGGGAAACAAAGGAGGAGGCAACAATGCTTGATAAGAAATGTACTCATTACCTTGCTCGTGTAATGTAATTGTAACCCCTCTGTACGGTATTTTCACAAAAAAAAAAAAAGAGTTGGTACCTGTTTTGCAAAGCATATAAGAAAGACTGTCTTCACCCTTGATACACTCTAACAGGAAGAAATTAGTATAACTAAAAACTAAAACAGAATCTTAATCTCCCTTGGTGATTCTTTGTTTTTTTGTCAGTCATGGGACTTGAACTCTGGGCCTGAGCTCTGTTCCTCACCTCTTCAGCTCAAGGCTAGCACTCTACCACTTGAGCTACAACACCACTTCTAGTTTTCTGGTGGTTTATTGGAAATAAGAGTTTCAAGGCCTTTCCTGCCCCAGCTGGCTTTGAAACTTGATCCTCAGATTTTAGCCTCCTGAGTAGTTAGGCTTGCAAGCATGAGCCACTGGTGCCCAGCTCCCTGGGTGATTCTTAGATTACTGGCCTTTATGAAACACAACTGGACAACTGGACAAGGCTTCAGTTCCTTCATTACACTAATTGTGTGATAGAATAAAAATGTGGAAAAGTGCCATATAAATATATTAAAAACAAGTGACATGTAGATATTTCTTCTATGATGAAAATGGTACACAATAAACCAAATGTGAAATTCTCTTGTAAATATTTATGAAGGAATAATGTATAAAATGTTAACAAAAAGAAGTACAAGTGAATATTGTATAAAATGTTGAGAAAAATAAAGTTCTTTTTGTTTCTGTGCTAGCATTGGGGCTTGATCGCAAAGCTTCATGCTCTTGCTTTCCTTTATGTTCAGGGGTGGTGGTTTATGACTTGGCCACACCTCTAGTTCAAAATCTTGCTTTTCTTCACCAGCCAGGCTTCCAACTATAGCCCTCAGATGTCAGCGACCTAAGTAGCTAGGGTTACAAGTATGATCCACTGGCTCTTAGCAAACATGAAGTTTTAATTGTACTATTTATACTGTAAATTATAATCTGTAGATTAATATTATTTCCCCAAAGAATACCTGTAAAACACAATCAACATGATTAGACATGGGCTAAAAAGCAAAAAGAGATGCACTGGACATATTAATGGTGATCAAGTTCTAAAAATTGTACACTCTTATTGTACATTCTTATAAAGTAGTATTTCAGTTCAGGCTTATGTAAAATGTATCATTATATAGGATATAAAAACGTCTTATCATGGTTAGAAAAACTACAAAATAATAAAAACAAACATTGAAAGAGGTTCAAAACACTGGAGTATTTACAAAAGAAACTGACCCTAGAAAAACTATTAAATGGCTTCATGAAAAATGTTCGTTCCTTTTTGAACAGGGAATCTCATCAATGATTTTCTAAAATCAATCCATCTCAGGGAAATAACATGTTAACTCATAAAGATCTATCAAGACGCCTTGGGCCCATTCACTCACACCTCGGCTGCTCAGGAGGCTAAGATGTACCAACAAAGTGTAAGGGCCCGATTTCAAACACTACTACTGCAAAAAAAAAAAAAAAAAAAAAAAGTTTATTAAGGCCTTAGGACGAAGATACATCGATCTATTTTTTTTTGCAGTCTTATGAATGTGCAAACCGACACAGAAATAGACTCAACTTTTCACATGATAATATGACTATAAGTTATCCAGAAAGAATTATTTTTGCAGACCTGTCCGATGTTTTTCATTGAGATGGACTGGAAAGCAAGGGGACTTTCATGATTTGCTACTTTAACACTGTGTTCTGTCAGCCACCTTCGCTCCACATCCTCTGACTCACACACTATTTGGAGAGAACACCTGTTTTAAATGGATCCGCAGGAAATGCCTATGGGGTCTTTTCATAACCTGACCCAGCATCTGGTTGGTTGAAATATGATCAGGATTTTTTTTTTTTTAAAGAAAAACTGCCGCCCACAAACCGATGCAACTTCAGCGTGACAACATTTACTGGAAGGTAGAGGGAATCCAGTTTATATTTTGTTTTCCTCCGGTTAAGCTCTGGGCGTTGTAGCGGACGGGTAGAATAAACAAAGCCCAAAGGCAGAATCCGTTTAACTGTATTTACATTCAGTCTCAGAACGATTTGTGTTTTAGCCGAGTGCAGTCACCTGGCGCTCCCGGCTTTCGCAGTGCTGTGTTTACCAGGCTCCTGTGGAGTGTTCACACTCTGTGTTGTGTGTTGTATTGATCATGCTCCTCGTAAGCCTGCTCGACCGAGGTGCTGCCTGCGTCCTCAAATCAGAATTTATCTGGAGCTTCAGGATCATCAACAGGAATCGGTCAACAGGAAAAAACAAGACAAAACATAACCGAAACAATGCGAGTCCCTGGAAGGCTGTGTACCCAGGCGGACACCTCCGCCGGGCCCCGCGCGCCCCATGCGCGCCCCGTGCCCCGAGTCCCTCCCCGGGCCAAAAGCAATTCCCGAAGAGCAGCAAGGCGGGGTCCCCTCCTTGGACCCCGGGTCCTCTCTTCCTCTCCTGCCCGCCGACCTCCCTCGGGCCTGGCAGCTGTCACCAGCTCCGGTCCGGGATCCTGAGGCTCGAGGGCCGCCCGTCCCTTTCCGGGATGCCTAGGGGGCGCCCCCGTTCGGGTCTCCCAGGGGGTGTGTGTCGGGGGAGGGGGAGGTGGTGGTGGTGGTGGTGGTGGTGGCCGGGCGAAGGCTGGAGCAGAATGACGGAGATGACGCAGGCGATGACGCCACGCCCCCGCCGGCCCCGGGCCGCGCAGGCAAGCCGCGCCCCGCCCGCGCAGGTCGCCCGCGCGCGTGCTGCAGGCCGCGCCGGACCCGCCGGGGCGCGCGCCGCAGCCCCCGCCCCGCCCCGCCCCGCCCCTCCGGCCCCGCCCCGTGCGGGTTCCCACGGCGCCCTCCGTCCCCCCCGCCCCCCCTCCTTGCTCCCCTGCGCCCGGCGCGCCCTTCGCCCGGCCCCGCCTGCCCAGGCCTTTGGTGAACATGGCGCTTGTCCCGTGCCAGGTGCTGCGGGTGGCCATCCTGCTGTCCTATTGCTCTATCCTGTGCAACTACAAGGCCATCGAAATGCCCTCGCATCAGACCTACGGAGGGAGCTGGAAATTCCTGACGTTCATTGATCTGGTAAGGCCGTCCCCTCCCCTTCCTTCCTCTATCCACCCACCCGGTGCCGGGGGTGACTGCGTTTTGGGGGTGTGAGCACCTGTGCGCGTGCGCGCCGCCCGCGCTCAGCACCCTATGCTCGGGTCTTTTGCTGTGAGCCAGCGTGTAGGCCTGGCTTTGGCACCTTCTGAGCCACCCACTGGTTACCTGGTAAATGGAGGTGGGGCAGAGCCCGGTGACAGGCCATTTGGAGTGGGGACACAGACCTGCCTCTCAGAGGGAAGGTTCTTCAGTTGCCAAAAAGCATCGGATGTCCTTGATCCTGAGTGGCCTTCTGACTCCTTTGCCCACCGGGTGTTTTCCAGAACACCTGTCATCCTCTGAACGTGCAGCACCTAAAGGAAGCAGTATTGTCTAGTTGTCACTTGGAGCTTTGCCCAGATCCTCGGGCTAAGGGAGAGAAAGCACCCAATAAAGTTATTTTCTTTGCATCTGCGTTCTGCCCATTGTCGGTAATTTCTTTTAATCTTTTTCCTAGAAATAGAGGGGAAGGTGGGGGGGGGGGGGGTTGGGCAGAGATTTCCAAGGTGCATTCCAGAGTGATTGTCCGCATTCCCAAGTAAGTTTGCACAATTTGATAGCTGTAATTGGCAATGGTTAAAAAAGGGTGAAAGGTCACTAATATAAACAAAAGGTGACTTTTGTGTTGAAACATCACACACAAACCAGAAGATTATTAACCCTGGGCAGAGGGCTCAAGCAAAAGCAGTGAAGTTCCAAAGTTACAGTGAAGTTCTCAGAGAAAATGCACAATTCCTGATATGCTACAACTGTCTGTCCAAGATTCTACTCCAGGTTAGCCAAGCTTGAAGGGTTATGGTCTTTGTGGACTCTCCATGTTACTGAAGAGAACTTGATTCCTGTTTCAAGATCTCTTCAAAGACATCAAATGCTCACAGAAATACAGTCAGAACCTTTAGAAATACCATCTTACAGTGTGTAGTAGATGAGATACTTGGGAGAAGAATGTTAAGTTCTCCCTCAGTATTCTAAGCACAAGAAGACTGCTCTCGGGGGAACAGTGTTGCAAAGGTTTCAACTTTCAGATCTTCCAGTTCCAGCTCTTCTGAGACTCATTTGTCTCTGAACATGAGAGTTCCCTGCCAGTACTCTTCTATTCCTCCTATTCATCTGCACAAGGAGCACATGACAAGGCTCTGTGCTTGCCGTTTTTCCACCTAGTCTTTAGCACACAGAAGCTAGGTGCCTGCAAGGGTTGATTGGCTTGTCAGTGAGAATTGACTTCACCAATTAAGTGATGAAGTTGTCATTTTGCATAGATTCAGTGTATGCTGGTATCTCATATCTGATATCGTTGAATGATACCATATCTGATATCATCTCGGATATGCTGGTAAATAGATATAGAAATCATTTATACTTTATACAGAGCACCAGAAATTGTGTCCCTTCTAAAAGTTAGAGATGCAAAGATGCTATTTAAATATATGTGCCTAGATTTTTTTCCCACAATCCTTTCAGGGACTGTGTGAACAAAAGTCCTTTTATATCCTTTTGTCTATTCTGTTTCCAAGTGAGGTCGCCGTGGAATGACTTGAGGATTGTCAAGTGACCCCTAGGTTCTTTGGGCCCTGTTCTGTCATGGCCGTGTCTTAGATGATTGTAGCAGATGAGAGAGTAGAAATCAAAGATGTCTGTTGACCCAAGAAAGACAAGCACTTCTCATGTTGGCTTTACCTACTGTCTGTTAGAAAACAGGTTTCAGAAGAAATTATAACCTTTTGACATGAAGCAGTACTAGAGTTAGTTTGTAATGTAGTTTCAAATTTAGCATTAGATAATTGGACTTATCTACCTTAACTGACAGTGATTGCCACAATGCTGCTTTATTCCTACCCTAGAATGTAGACCACCAGTTTAAGTTTCAAACTTTTACTTTGTTTTGTATTTATATCTGGCCCTCTGTTTGTACAAGGACTTTAAGATCACATTCAGATTTTTGACACTCTATGGCTCCTGATTGAAATTGAATAATTGTCTTCCACAGAGAGTTCTTATGAGAAGCACATCTGAAAAATATTTGTTAAAAACACCAGTGCAAAGTATGACTGTTTGTTTTATGGACGATTTAGAGTTCTTAGAGCTTAAGCCTCTCACAGCTGTTAAAACAACCAATCTGTCAGTCCTGTAGCATGCCAGGAAAAGAGCAGGCTCCTAAACCTTACCTTTACATTGTTTTGTACGTTTTTATTTTTTAAAGCACTGAGTAAGCTTTATTTTCAAGTGCTTCAGACAATTTTAGTGGTTCTCAGCTTATTGGAGCAAGTTTAGAGAAGGGTTTTAGCTCCTCCGGATTTTAATAAGAAGGCCTCTTTTCTGGCCAACTTGAATTACAGAGTCAGGGAACCAGTCTTAATGGCCACAGTTGGCCTCTGTATTTTTTGGTGGCATCACTTTACTCCAGTAGGAGTCAGGAATCTCTGGCTAATATATCCTGGCACAGATGGGTCTCGTAGTTGTGGCCATTCCAGCCAGATTCATATCTCTCTTTGGGCATTAGAATCATTCCAGTTTACCCAGCTCATGGTCAATAGCTGAAATACACATTGTGGCTTTCAGTCATCTCCAAGGACTGTTTTCCCCCTTACTATGCAGAGACTGTAAGACCTAAACTGCTTTTGGAAACATTAAATGGAAAGAGAAACACTGGCTTGGTATGGTAGGCAGGATCCAGGCTCCCAGAGGTGTGCACATCCTATGCCCACAGCCTGTGGATGTGGTAGGTGACATAGCAAAATGGACTTAAGTCATTAATCAACTGATCTGAAGGTAAGAAATTATTCTGGAATATTCAGCTAGGCCCAGTATAATTACTAGAGATCCTAAAAGCAGAATGGAAAAGCAGGAGAAGACCCAAATCTGATGGAAGAAAACATGACTGTGGACGAAAATGACAGATGGACATGGCTGGCTTTAAGACAGAGGAGAGGCCATGAGCGAAGGAATGTGGAAAGCACATAGAACCTGGAAACATCAAGGTATTTCCCAAAAAAACAATGTATTGCTGATACGTTTTGTTGTTGTTGTTGTTGTTGTTGTTGTCAGTCATGGGGCCTGAACTCTGGGCCTCCTCTCTGTCTCTCAGCTCTTCAGCTCAAGGTGAGCACTCTACCACTTGAACCACAGTGTCACTTCCAGCTTTTTCTGCTTATGTGGTGCTGAGGAATTGAACTCAGGGCATTGTGCATGCAAGTCAGCACTCTACCACTGAGCCACCTTCCCAGCCCCTGATACAGATTTTAATCCAGTGAAACTTGGACTTCTGACCTCCAGAATTGTAAAATAATAAACATACATTGTTTGAGCCACTGCATATATGGTAACTCATTATTGCTGCAATATAAAACTAATACACTTGGCTTTAAAGCCTCTGACCTAGAAAAAAATGCCAGTACCAGACACAACAAACTAGCTAAATTAGTTCATTTTAGTTTTAGCCAAAGCTTCATCCATGAAACCATGTGGAGGCATACCTATGAATTACATAGGCAATGTGAGACTTTACAAAGACTGAGCACAACTGAGCACTGGAAATTCTAGGGCTTCTTCTTTGCCGTGAAGTATTTCAGAAACTATGACATAGCATACCAGGCTCAGGAAAGGAATACATTTTACTGGAATTTAGAAGAAAATAAAAATTACAGCAAATGGATATTGAAATCTTTCCTTAGTATCACAGCTGATGAATTCTCTTGAGAATGTTGATTTATTACCTATTAGTTACACAATTCTTCTCCAGATTGCCTCCTGCCCCAAATAATAAAAGGAATCAAAATAAAGCCAGCATAGATTAAATACAAAAGGACATTGTTTGTTGATGCTTCAAAGTAGCACTTAGAATAAAATAGGGGCTTAGAAAATATTTGGAGTCACAGGAGCATCCTCAAATCTCAGTGTAACCTAACATGAGCATTAGAATGTGGGCATCTTTGGGGGACCCTCCCTTGCCCAGCACACCAAGACAATGTTTCCAATTCCATTTAATATCTCCAGAAGTTTCAAGCCCAAGACTTCTCAAAAATCTTCAAATGACAATACTTAAATAAAATACCCACTAGAATTTCATTTCATTGTGAATTGTAAGCTATCTAACCAGTTGGTGAGAATGCACTTGAAAAAATGTGAGCTCGTTAATTGTTATAACTAATTACATTAATAATAATATTGGATTTGAGGCTTTTGGAATTTTAAAGATGGAAGCAGGCATCTGTCTCTGTCATTTGTGAGGTAGCTTGTATTACTTAGAGAGTAACACAAGAGAGTCTTCATTTCTTAGGGCATTCTTCCTGTCTTTCCATTCATGCGCCAGCAGAATGTAGGGGTTGAGACCCCGCCTACTCAGAGTGTGGACTGAGGCTGTCCACTCCTTCTGAATCATAATTTGTGTCACATAGGTCACCAAGTGGTTCTTGTGCACCTGTTAGTGTGATTAAGGCTTCTGGGAACTGCATTGTATCATTTCCTAATTCAATAGGAAATACTATATAGGGCCAGCCTTGCATGCATTAATTCTGTCTACTTTCAAAACATATTTAAAGTGCTCTCACTGTGACATGATTAAGAATATGTAAAAATGTACCTTGACTAGAATTAGCTTATAAACATATAAGTAAATATGATGGGTGGTATATAATTGTATACAAATGTATTAACCGAAATAGGTTGATTCAAGGGAGAGCTCAAATAGTAAGTTCAACAAAATAAACTTCAGGAAGGGGATGCTTGAAAGGGAGTGGGATGGAGTCCAGGGGAGAGGAGTAGATGAATGGGTGTATACAGTGCACATACTGCAGAATTAAGAAAAGTGAGGGAAGGAGTGGGAGGGCTGGGTGGGAATGTTGAAAGTACTGATCAAGAGGCAATGTATTGGGCTGGGAATGTGGCTGAGTAGAAGAGTGCTTGCCTAGCATACATGAAGCCCTAGGTTTGATTCCTTAGTA